CACTGGCCTTGCTCAGTATGTGCTCACTGGAAGTGGTCTCAGTCTTTTACAAGAAATTCGCCACCTCCCTCTATCGTCACACCCCACGGGGAACAGAGGTCTGGGAGGAGCACAGGATGCTGAGACTCTGAGGCTGACCTGCGTGGGGGCCCACGACCGGGGTGTGGGGTGGGGCTCCACAGACACAGAGTTGTGTCTCAAGCCCAGACATGCAGCACTCTGGCTCTCAAATCCTGGTGTGGAACAGGGAACTGTTTTTCAGATAAAGGGACACTATTCATTTCACACTTTTAATTATTTAATGAATATTTACATTAAAAAAAAGCCATTAAGGAACCAGGTACAGAGAGCATTGATTGTGAGGCAGAGAATGGATACATGGATCATTTCCAATGCTTCACAGACGGAAAAGTTCACAGGAAACTGAGTCTTCTGAGTTCAGAGTTCTTATTCTAAATACAGACGCTTCAACCAATCCATCCTCATTTTTTTTTTAACACTTTAGTTACACATGTTGTCAGCCATGTATGCCTATGAGTGCTCAGCTGGGAGATGCCTGCTTTAGCTGATCAGATCTCTCTTCAGAACCAAAACCATGTGATTTTACTCCTGAAAGGACCTTGTTCTTAAAAATAAATCCATTGTAGAATGCTGGGCTCTGGGATAGCAAGACTTGAAAACCTTGTTAGTGAAGAGATTAGAACTCCTCCAACTCTGTTTGGTTGAGGAACTCTGTCTGGACATTCTCTGCTCTCTCTAGAGGAAGGAGCAGTAGGCTTTTCTTAAATATGGTGAATATTTTAGCATTTGCAGATCATTTGGTCATGAATGCATGTAAATGAATGGATATGGCTGTGTTCAAATAAAACTTGATTTACAAAAACAGGAGGTCCAGCCTTGGTGTGCCAAGTGCTGCAGTAGAGGTGAGGCTCGGAGCCTGAGTTCTGTCCAGAATATCGAAATACTCTGAATACATATTCCTTGCCAAGTATTTGTTTTTTGTGTCATGACATGTGCTCCAATGGCAGTACTTAAGTATGAAGTTTTAGAGTGGTTTAGGAGAATAGCAGTGCCTTTGGACCAAACTATTTTGTGTGAAGAATTCAAGTAGATCGACATTAGGGGGGCATGATGTTCTATTTCCTAGTGTCTGGCAGAATTAGGGTGACATTCACTTACATACATTTATCAAGAATAAAGTGGACGGTTATAACTGCTTGGGGATAGGAGAGAGTAGTTAAGCCTGCATTTTGGTTGGATTGCCATCCTAGTCTCTGACTTTACAACTTCCAAATCGTCAGCATGACAAATTTTCATTTATCTTATGTTTGATTACTGTTTTTAAACTTAAAAGTAACAATAGTATAAGGGAAAAATAAAACAACCTATAAGAAATTAAGTCATAAAACATTCAGTTCCTTTAGTGAATGCTTCCAATCTCAAGTCAGGCAGTACTATCTCACATGTGAATTAAATGTCACTAGGAATCATTTTATGGTACCTGCCCACCCCCCTAAGAATAATGCGAATTCACTTTCACCTGCAACTTTCTGAGAGATGCTGATGATGAATTCCTTTTCTAGTGCATTTCTAGATTCAAGGTTCTCAAGGCCCATCCATTTTAAACCTCCAAACTGTCAGTTGTAATTGGCCTCAGAGGATCTTCCAGGGTAATACAAATGTATTCCTAAGCACACTTAAAGTCCTTTAGCATTTGCTCATTTTATACAAGAGACTGTAGAGAGGGATGAGGAGACATGAAGGATCCTCTTTGTCCCTGCTACAAAGGGTGACAGACATCAGAAAATGCTCAAGTGCCTTATCAGATCAGGGAGGTTAATAAGACGATTAACTCTGTTAAAAAATAATAATATTTTGTCAGTCACTTAAAAGGGTAAGTTAAACGGAAGATTTGTTTAGAGACCCCATTTTTTTTTTTTTTCTGGAACTCTTTTCTTGTTCTCTGAAATGGTTAATGTAATAAAGAGATGCTCTGCTTGGGGACAGAGGCTGAAGGAATAAGGGGTGAGGAGATGCAGGAAGAGGAACAGGTGGTTCTTGATGAGCGTACAGATCTGGTCCGCCTATAGGCTGGCGTCTGCAGAAAGGCTTCTCTGCCTGCTGTTTTCATCTGGGAGACTATTCATTCATGATGTATTATAGTTTCCCACGTTAGTACACAAGATGTGAACTGCTCATGTTTTTGACTACCTACAGATGAAATTTTCTTCCAAAGGGTGCACTAAAAGAAAACCAATATTTTGTTTTACTATATGCCACTCAACTATCTAATGACCGCCTGCCTCTCCAAGCCTCTGGGTGACTGATGCCTTAGAGTTGAGAATGAAGACCGTCCCAAGGAAGGGCGAGTCACCGAGTGCACACTTGATACCGAGCAAATGCCTGCACCAAACCAGTACCCTCCAAGGAGTAGGCTTGGACAATCTGAGTAGTTTGAGTAGCTAGTCTACTTTCTGCCAGTCATTTTGTATAATCATAGAATTTTTCCTTCTTGAAAACAAAGTATTAGAGATTATCAGAGTATGGGGTACAGCATTTAAGGGCATTTTAGAAGATCACAGTCAATTTAAAATGTGGAGCAGATTCATAATAGCTTTTCAGGGGGCTTTGAATCATTTGCATTTTGAAGTTGATATCAGATATTGCAATGTTAAAGATAAGTTATTTGAACTTCTATTATTAGGTAGTAGTGGTGTTAAAATGATGACTGACTAGGCCATGCAGTACACCTTGTGCCCACACCCCATGTAACTTTTGCAGAATGCTGCCCTACATAAGCTGCTATTGCAAATAGGCAATCATTACACGGAATCTTCCAGAAAATCCACCCAAGTAAAGTGGTAGCCTCTCATCTTTACAGAAGAACGTCTTACCTTTGAGAAGATGCAGTAGAAAGGAAACTGGCCCCAGAAACCAACAGTAAGATTTCTTTCCTGAGATGATATAAGTTTGTCATTTCATTAACTCTGTCCTCCACCTCATTTATTCACCCACCGAACAGTTACTGAGCACCTCCACTGTGCCAGGTACCTACCGTTCCAGGTTCTGAGGACACACTATGAACAAAACGTGGCAAAGTCCGTTCCCCGTGGAGCTTACATTCAAACAGGGGGAGACAGAACACTTAAGTACATGACACCACGGTATTTGAAGCAGCTGAGAGACATCCTGCCTGAAATCTGTTTGCTGCCTCTCCTCACTTGTGGATACTGAGGACGTCAAAGGGGAGGCCACGAATGGACCAGCACAATTTCACCAGTCCTCCCTCTACTATCTCACAGTTGGGTGAACTCAAGGGAGTCCTTCAACCAATCTGGGCCTCAGTTTCCTCATCTATAAAATGGGGAGGGGCTGGATTAAGTGATTTTTTTTTTTTAACAGAAGGGGAACTTTTAGGCTTTTATTTTTCATAGTGTTGAGAGCATTTTGCACAAAATCGAAAACCAGTCTTGACTGTCATACAGTTTAAAAAATATGTAAAAGTAAACTATAAGGAATCCTTAGGTAGTCCACATCCACTCAACATTTTAAATGTCAATCTAAACTTCATAAATAGCAAATGCCTTATTTACAGCTGCTGTAGAATGAAGTCATTTTATACCACCTCCAGCCATCTGAGAAATTATTTATTCATAAAGCACAGCCCCACCTCATTTGTGAAATGTTCTCTAGTTGTGAAATCCTCTCCTGAGTGTGACACTCTCTCCTACTCACCCAGATTACTGACTTTGTACTCCTGTTTAACATTTTCCTAGCTCCGTGAAAACAGGGATTAGATCCTCACTTTTGAAGAATGACTCCAGTGAGATCTGTCCTGGTAATCCATTCATGTGTGATCAATGCACCTACATCATGTTTTATGGGCACAGGCCTTTTGGGAACCCACATCAGCTCTTCAGGCTGTAAGAATAATTCTGCTTAGTAACATAAGAGCTAGGGTGTGCCAAAGGGTATATTACTATTCAAAGAGGAAAAATGGGTTTCTAGAAAAATTCATAGACTAGGACAATGTGAATTAATGAAGATCCTAACCTCTTTGGAAGCCTTGTGGAATGTTAATGAGTATTTAATAATACAATAACACAGGTTAAGTAGCAAGTATTTTGCAGTCCATTTTTCTTTAAGAAGGTAACATAGCTGGGAGAGCTGAATGTCAAGGTTAGGCTTCTACTTACTAATTTGGTATGAGTTATGAAGCATCTGGTTCTCTTAAAAGACAAATTGCAATTTTCAAATGGAGAAACTCTAATTTCAATCAATCCAGCAGCTAAAGATGATAGGACATTTTCCAGGACTATAAGGAATCTTCTTTTCTTGTCTGGATCAGATCCCCATGGCTACCTTGGAGGCTTCTGAAGGCTGTGTGCTCTGCCTCTGAGTTTTATCAGCTGCTGTGGAATGAAATATCCCACACCTGTTTTCAGATTTGATCAGGTGGGCCCTATCACTGCCTTTGAAGGCAAAGTAAAATCTCTGCCTCAATAACCAAATTTAATTCCTTCCTATTGTTCTGTGGTGTTAAGATCTATAGTGTCAATATTATCAGAAGAACCTAATGTGGGCTGCTTTGTACATAACGTCTACCATGTCCTTTCAGTCACTGAAAAGGGATAAGGACCCCATCCTTGCCTGGCTGAACACTCCTACTTCAGGACCAGATGGGCAGGGGCATTCCCCTGTCACCTTGAAGAACCTGGAAGCAGCATCACAACATCTTCTAGGAATAAACAATGTCTCAAACTGTGTGTGTATGTACTAGGAAATGAGGGCAGGTCCAGCAGTCATCGCTGCATAATGGGGGGCAGAGAAGAACAAGGAGGTTTCAACAATTTCTGGCAACCTAGATCACAGACACAGGTAAATTCTTGTTAGAAAAGGAAGAGCACTGTGGTGTACACCATGGAATTTGTTGTTGAGCATATGCTATCAGTAAGAATACAGTCCCTTTTTCACAAGGATAAACAGGAGGAGTTAGCCCACCTGATGTTCAGCGTCCTTCAATCAGTAGGACCGCAGCCCTGTCCAGCCAATCCAGAGGGTCCCTGGGGCAGATCCCAGGGTATACCAGGCTGGCTGCGGCTGTGAGGATCTCCCTAATGTCACAGTGTGCAGTGTACTTTTCAAGGTGGAAGTCCTTGAGCTGCAAATGAATATCTCCCTTAAGTCCAAACCTCTGTCGGCACTATGGCTTCTTTGGTTCCAACAGAAGGCAGGAGGCTTTCTTCAGACAGGAAATAAAAGGGGAATTGCACTAAGAACCCACGGATCTTTTTCAGTTCTTCCTCAGCTCTAATGGGATCTTCCCTTGCTAAGACGGGCTTGGTTATAAAGTCTCTCAATTGAATTAAATTGTGTACTTCATCATTGGGAAGGCACCGGAACACCTGATTAAAACACAAATAGGAAGAAACGAGGTCGTGAGTTTAAAAGATATCCCCTTTATGGGAAATACACATTCTGACAGACAAAATCTTCGCTTTATGAAACACGTAGTAGTTTTAGGCCACAGCACAGACCCGACTGAAGAGTTGCTTTTCTTATTTGCTACCAAGAGATGACTAGATTTGCTTCCATCAAAAAGAAAAAAATCTTAGATAGAACCTTCTATCTGATCTACACGAGTCACTGACTTCAAGATAAAGTCAAGCTAGTGGTAGGGGAATTCCACTGATGTTAGTCCGCATTCAGGTTAGGATTTTGGATAATAATTCTCAGAATTTCACTGGAGGTTCTGGTCAAAGAGGAGTATTGCAGATTATATTGTCTCTAACTTTTCATTTTTCAAAAATGCTCATATCTGTACCTTTAAAGGTACCAATTGTACACTTATTGTGCTAATTGAAAATGAGCTTCTTATATCACAATAGTTCCCTCCTAAATACTTCAGCATGTATTAAGAATATGAATGTGCCTATATAATCATGATAGCATTTTCACACCTCAGAAAATCAATTCCAAGTCATTTAAGATATGGTCCATATTCAGATTCATCCTGTTGTTCCCAAAATGTTTTTTTTATAGTCGCTGTCCTGTACTGCATCCCCCCCCCACCACCACCACCATGAGGATCCAAACAAGGCTGTGCTATGCATTTTTAAAATTACATTTTAAAAGACTCCATGCACATGACCTATTTGACTGTGGCCTTGAGTACTCAGTATGAAATAAGGCTATGTAGACTGTCATGTTTCATTAGGAATGATGAATTTTCCAGCTGGAAGGGACTCCAGCAGTCATGAAGAACAGTAACACACTCTTAACCAATTTCTGCCAGATTGTCAGCAGATCTCAGCTCGAATATTTCTAGGACAGAAACCTGGCTACTTTAAGAAGTAACTTGCTCCCCTGTTGCACAACTCCTACCTCTTGTACATTCTTTATCATAACCGATGGATAGAACTTACTAAAAGATACATTTGGTCTCCCTAACACATGGAGCTTGTTTTAAAACCCCTTTCCAAAATTAGAGCTGCCCAACAGAGAAGTGTTTCATTATTAGTAAGTTCCATCATAAGGATGGATACCATTTACTATGCTATGTGCTAAATACATTTAAAAGCCTACTCTTTATTTTCATAAGCACCCTGGTGGATACTCCTCCCAGTTTATAGAAGAAAGGAGAGCTCAGAAAGTCAAATCACTACATACAAAGTTCTGTCACCAGCAGCTGGGTGAGCTGGGTCGAACTCAGGTCTGACTCATTTTTGGATACCATCTGCCTCTTTTCTCTGTCACTAGACACACCCAAAACTTGGGTAAGCACCTTCCAAGGATGCTCATGATGGGATCCCAGAGTCAGATGAGAGATCAGAATACCACTAATGGCTCTTCGAAACAACAATCCATGATACTTTTTGACTCTGTTTTTAAGGTCTACAAAGAGGTATTTTATTACAACTTGGAAATGTACTGGTTTTTTTTTTTTTTTTACACTCATTAAGAATACTCTGTTCCACTAATATGCAACAATAACAATGTGCTTTTGTGATGTGATTCAATTTAAAAAGGGGAGGAGGGATATGCAAACCTCACCTTATCATAAATTGTAGCATTTCGAGCTGCTGTTGCAACCCACACCTCCTTGAAGAATTTGTCACTCACTGGATCCTGAATGTTTTCACTTGGTTCAGAAAGATAGCCAAGGACAACCCTGAAATACAAGTATGCTCCAAAATGAGTTACTGAGATAAAGAAATTTGCTGCAGGTATTGTTTCTAAGGTAATGTAATTTAGGCACTCAACCACAGAAGTCTTTTTTTTTTTTTTTTAAGAAAATCTGAGGAAGCCATTAAAACTCTGTGTGTGTGTGTATAAAACCTTCCTTGCAAAACAAAACAAAACAAATCGAAGCTGTTATGATGCTTGAAAATTTTAACTGTTGGATAGACAGAAACACCTGAATTTAGTTCCAAGAGAGCCCTTGGAATTTGGCCTAAGGGGATGAGACTTGGAGGATAGGGTTAGGATTCAAAGGGTCAGCACCCAGGGGGCACCTGAGTGACTTGGTTGGGCATCTGACTCTTGATTTTGGCTCAGGTAAAGATCTCGGGGTCCTGGGATCAAGCCCCGTATTGGGCTCCAGGCTCAGTGGAGAGTCCCCTTGGGGGTTCTTTTTTGTCTCTCCTCCTCGCTCTCTCAAATAAATAAATCTTTTTAAATACACACACACACACACACACACAAAACCCCATGTACCAGCAAAAGTGCCAAGTCCTTTCCAAGAACTGTCTCAACAAAGTTATGAATAAGCAACTATTATTATCTCCATTTTACAAATAAGGGAACTAAGGCACAGAGAGGGTAAGTAACTTGTTCAAGGTCACCCAGCTGGTAAGCTATAGATATGTGACTCCAGACCATTTGACTCCCAAACCTATGCTCTTGACCAGAATGAAATATCCCTTTCTCTTCCCTTCCTCTTTCCCTCCCTCCCTTCCTTCTCTTGGGCCAAGAACTATGCCAAACTCTGGGGCACAGAAACAAATACAAAAGACATGGAGCTTCTTTGGGTAAATTAAATGGGTAAGGTCAATAATGAATAAATCATCATCCTTAAAAAGAATGAAGTAGTGTGATAAATACTGGGTGTGCTTTAAAAGTATGGGAGCCTTCCCCTCCACCCTTCCAGTTGGCCTGACCCCACCTATCTTTCAGCACTCAGTACAAGGCTTCCCCTTGATTCATGGCTCCCCCTTCTTCCAGCTCCCATTTTTCTCTGTCAGGCCTCAGAGATTTGGACATTCTTCTTTTGCTCCCCCACTGAACCTCATATTTGCTTTATCAGAACACCTGCAATACTTCATGCACTTTTGTTTTTTTAACAGGTTTATGTCCCACAGCTAGCTGGTTAGTTCTTTAAGAGAACATGACCTGGCTATTCATATCCCCGAAGTGCCTGGCAAAAAAGAAGCCACATAACTAGATGTTGTCCTATTTGATCATATATAAACAGTGTACTAGAAACAAATTCTTAAGCAAAGCAAGATAAATTTTAGAGGTCGCATCTGAAAATGGTAAAAATCCCTGTACTCATGGAAGGCCTTGGAGTAAAAAAAACATTTCTACCTCAATCCTGTGGGGTACGTGGTACACAATTCCCATTTTGTAGATGGGAAGCTAAAATTTGGAGACCTACTACTAACAAAGCTAGATTTCAAATGGGACCTAAAGCCCTTTCTCACATGCCTGATAGGTTCAAAGAAGATCAAAAAGTCTTATGTTACATTGAAGATAGAAGTGAGGAACTAGGTCTTAGAAGGACTTCGTCTTTTACACTGAGAGAAGCTGGGACATATTACAGATTCTGGAGTGATAGGATCTGACTTTACATTCGAAAATATGGCTGCTATATTGGGAACAGAATGTGGGGGCAAGGGCTATAACAGCGAGACCACTTAGGAGCTCCTGCAGTAATCTGAGTGAGAGATGATGGGGCTTGGGTAGTGGAGAGGAAGGTGTGGAGCCAACAGGTTATACTGACAAAGCAGGTATATGATGTGAAAAGAAGTGAGGCATCAAGGATAACAACGGGGGTGTGGGTGTGAGCAACTAGAAGAATGTGGGTGCCATTGACTGACATGGGGAATTCTTCTGGTAGTGCCAGTTTGTGGGAAAAGACCAGTAATTCAGTGTTGAACCTGTTGAGACTTCCGTTAAACATTCACAGGGTAATGCAAAGTAGGCAGCTGGAGAAACGAATCTCGAGTTGGGGAGAGTATAAATCTCCAGTTGGCTGGAGTATAAACCTGAGAATTGTTTTATATATGTATTCATAAAGCCATGGACTTTACCTGGTTTACCAAAGGAGTGAGTTTAGACAGAAAAGAGGACCTGGTGAGCTTTAATGGGAGGGAAAAGAAGGAACAGCAAATGAGCCTGGAGAAAAGCAAGGGTGTTGTATCTTGGAACCACACTAAGTTTGCCAAGGAGAACTGTGTCAAATTCAAATGAGAATTGACCACTGAATCCAACAGTGTGGAAATCCTTCTGCTGTTGCCCTCTCTGGATTTAAATAAATGTGGATTGACATCATTGTTCTTAATGGCTGCAAAATTTCCCATCATGTGAATTTCTTTAACCAAGTATTTTATTATGACCTTTTGGATGGTGTCCAGTTTTTCATTATTCTGAACAGTTTTACCATGAACATAATTTACTCATCATGCATAATACTTTGTGAATTTATAGGACTCTTTTACTAGGGAAAATTTTAGAATTAAGTTTTACTTCAAGAAAGGCTGTTCCAACACAGACGCCGTGACGGTGCCCGTTCTCTCCAGTCATCCCCAACATGATCGATTCCTGAAAAAGCTCAGCCATTTTTACAAGGATAAAAGGACATTTCATTTTAGTTTTCGTCTGCACTTTCCCCACTATCTAAAAATTCTTTAAAATAAATGGATTTGGCACCATGGGCTCACTTAGGATTTTTTAGAGCTTTATAACCTCAAAATTTTATTTCCACTTCAAATAATGTCTCCCTCAGACTATTGAAGAATAACTTTTAAAATGGATTTAAGGGAAAAAAATGGATTTAAAGAATGGTGTTTGCACACAGATGCTGGCTGCTTAAGACCCAAAGCAAAATCTGCAGCAAATCTGATGGACAGTGCAAGTCATGACAATACATCAATTATAATAATACCTTTGATGGGGATCAAGTCTAACAGCTGAAACTTGGCAAAAACAGTTCTGTGACTTTGCTTTTAACTTCAAAACAAGAGGTGACACAATGTGTCCAACAAGTTATCGGTTAAGAGCTTGTTTGTAGAATAAGTATTTAAATAAGTCTATAAGAGCTAATTTTTAGTAATAAATTATTTTCCCTGTCAGTTTTCTGTTAAAATGCACAGTAAAGTGAAAATCTCTGGATATTCTTTTGAGAACTAAGGTGAGGGAGAACACGTCTGATTTAATGTAGGCGCTTATAATGGGAATTATTTAATGGTTTATTTTTTATGCATCGGTGGAACAGGAGGAAAACTGCAGAAAATAGTTCTTGTTCTTTCCATTCCTCATGTCTATTGCTTGACACGATTCTGAGCTGTACTTGAGTGGATAATGGTTTCTGTTGAGTGATGGTTACATCCATACAGTTGGATAATTTTCCAGGACTTAACTGTTCAGCACATAGTTGCGACATTCAGTGCAGTACCCTGATGTTGACTCTATTTAGAATTGATTTCACATTGAAATGTGTCTATTTCTAGTCAGAAATAACCCAGATGGAAAATGGATTGAAGCTGCTTTTTTTTTAGTGAGAAAATGGCTGTGTTCTAGGCCCCAATATTATCTTTTAAGAACATTCCGTAATAAAAATAGCATGAGGTTTTTTTGTGGTGCTTTTTCTAATATATTAGTTGTGTTTTCCATTGGGGCAAAGTGAAAAATGATTGTTCATGAACAAATGCCTTTTTAAGACAGTTTGAAAATATATCTACTTATTTATTTATTTATCTTAAATATTTTATTTTTAAGTAATCTCCACAGCCAACATGGGGCTTGAACTCTCAACCCTGAGATCAAGAGTCAGCTCCACTGGCTGAGCCAGCCAGGAGTCCCTATATCCACTTTTTTGTATCAGTGAAAAACCTGTCTATCAGTGAGGTATTAGTTAAAGGAATTACAGCATATTCACATGATATAATACAATGCAGCCATTAAATGTTATAGAAGAATACTTGATGACACAGAAATATGTAACATTATTTAAATAATAAAGAACATCCTAGGATTGCAGGATTCTAATTATGTTTTAAAAAAGAAATACGGTATAGTAATATATATGTGCCGAACAAAGGGGAATGATGTATGCAACATTTTTTAAATAATGAAGAACTTTCTAGAACTGCAAGATCCTAAAAAAGAAATACAGTATAGTAATATATGTGTGCCGAACAAAGGGGGAACGATAGACAGCAAATGTTAAAGCTGCTAGCTCTGGGCAGTGGGACTGCAGATGAATTTAATTTTCTTATTGCTTAACTGTATTTGCCAAATTTTCTACCACAAAAATCGGCTGTAATCAGAACCACCTACACCTTTATAATTATTATACATTTAGAGTTATAAAGAAGCTCACCACTTTAATGAGAATACTTAAGTTCTCACAAAACCGAAAAGACTGGTTTATACAAAGAAATACTTGCTTCCTCATAGATGCTGCAGGAGGCAATGGGTGGGCTGATTAACAGGGTACTAATTTTAATCTCCTCCCTGCTAAATGAAACAAATTAACACCAGAAGCTAATTGAAATATCAGTGGTTTAAAAAAAATAAATCTTACTGGCAAAACAATTAGTAACAATGGCAATAAACACAGTCATAAGAACTGTGAGGAAGTATTGACAGTCAGATTTTGAGGGATAGATTTGCCGAGCTCCTGGGGCAGAGAGAGCAGAATGACCCCCTCTCTGGAACCGAAGGAACTGAAGCTTATCTTGCTTCTCAAGAGCCGGAGCCTGGGCTGCTGGACAGGAGGAAAATGGTGGCCAGCATTTGCAGGGAGCCTGGTACTCAGGGTGTACCTGTCTGCCAGTGAACCCATGTCCAAGTGCCACCGTTCACACCACAGGGTTAAAACAACAGCTCCTTTCCCCAAATAGCTTAAAGCTTCATCAGGGCCACTGGCTGCATCTCGCTGTGGAGGCCACAAGGAAAAACCCATCTCTGGCTGATGCAGCTCTAGAATCATGGACTGAGGGGCTCACTGCAAGGGCCTCGCTATAGGGGAGTGCTCAGGATATTCCATGGACCATGAGTGAAGTGACAGGATCGGGGGTTCTAGAAGGATCCGTCTGACTACTGAGCTTAGATTACAGGGTCTGGGGTGGGGCCAGTTAGAGCCTGGCCCTAGAAGGTTCTCAGAAACATTAAGAGAATGAGAGACTCATTTAGGGTCCCCCAGCCCTTGCTGCTCTGCCCAGTGTTCTCTCAGCTTGAGCACAGAACAGTGTAGAATTCACATCTTGTTGCAGAAGATCAAGAATCTTTTGTGTCTGGGGCTGCAGTTTCCATACTTCACCATCAGCAGTCACTGGCACCCTTCTTTAATACTCTCTATTACATCCTTGTATTATTGGGACTACTATAATTTTAAAAAATGGACTCTAAAAAATTTAAACAGGTGGGTGCCTGGGTGGCTCAGTTCGTTAGGCAACTGCTTTCAGTTCAGGTCATGATTCTGGAGTCCCAGGATCAAGTCCTGCACTAGGCTCCCAGCTCCATGGGGAATCTGCTTCTCCCTCTGACCTTCTCCCCTCTCATGCATGCTCTCTCACAGTCTCTCTCTCAAATAAATAAATAAAATCTTAAAAAAACCCAAAATCTTAAATAGGGGTGACCGAGTGGCTCACTTGGTTAAGCACCCAACACTTGGTTTTGGCTCAGGCTTGTTCTGGGGTTGTGGGATAGAGCCCCTAGTCAGGCTCCATGCTCTGTGTGGAGTCTGCTTGAGATTCTCTCTCCCTCTGCCCCTCCCCGCCATTCACTCTCTCTCTAAAATAAATAAAATCTTAAAAAAAAAGAAATTAGATGGGTTGACCTGGCCTGGTCCTAAATCAATGAATAAATTTAAAATGCTATTTTTCTTGATTACACATAAAAATAATAAAAATGATTAAAATAGAAAATATTTACACCCCACATAAAGTCCTTTTGCACACTACTGGTGATTCACATCTCCTGCTCTGGGAGATGCTGTTTTAGACAAGGACCTGGGGATGACATTTGTGTTCAGGGCAGGAGGTGGGATGGGGTTCCAGCACCCACCACAGTAAAACAACGTTAAGAGGGTCACAGCTCTGGGGGACCCACCTGAAGCATTGCAGCCGAAGTCCCTGGGCGAAGCGGCCAGCCTGGTACTCTTCTCCATCCATCACCGAAGGGACTGTCTCTGTGTCCTGCACGATGACAGCCATTTCACTGTCACGCTTCCCCAGCATGCTTCGGTCATTTATGTTGGCAGAGCCTATCATGGGAAACAGTGACGTAGAACAACCTTCTCGGCAAAGAGAAGTGTTGGCTGCCTTCCCTGCTCAATTCTTCCTTCCTAAGAAAACCTTAATTTTGTTCAGGTTATCAAGAAATGCTGAGTTTTGGAAAGGGGAGGCCCACTGTAACCCAGGCATAAGTCTTGATCAGTCTAAGCCAGCTATAGTAATTTTGTGATTTTTACCCATGACTGGCTTAGGAATGGGCACTTGACATCATTGTAGCCAGTGTGACATGAAGAAGAGTATGATGGGGGCTTCTGAGAAAGTCTATCTCTTTATAAACAGACACCAGACTGGGATGCCGTCTCTTAAAGCCTTTTGATATTTTGGGTTGGATGTTGGATGAGGACGTGATTCCAGGAGCTGCTGTAGCCATTTTGTAACCACTAGGGGACAAGCAGACAAGTGGAGGATGGCAGAGCAGAAAGAAGAAAAACCCTGGGTCTTCGAGTCACTGAACTAGCCAACTTTTTTACCTGCTGGTATGTGAAATAATACAATTTTCCTTATTGTCTCACACACCTCTAGCTGAATTTTCCATCTGGTAGCTCAAAGGCTTCTAACTGATGTAATCATTATGCACACACACAAAAAAGACACACCAGTTCAATTTCGTCAGCTTTTAGACTTACTCTTCTGGAGTCTGGTAACTTAACTCATAGCCATGTAATTACGAATGTCAAAGCCCCAGAGCAGCTTCACAATCAAGAGTCCACTCTCAAATACAGATTAGCATTAGTGGCTTTGGTTTTTACGTTCTCTTGCCTCACTTGTGTGGCACGCCAACTGCTTCTATATCAACTTTTTTCCATTCTATTTTTAAATCCAAATGAGCTGAGAATGTTGACTTTCACATGTGAAGGGCAAGTATTTTAATATTAGTTCAACCTGGGCTTTCTCCATTCCTCTGAATGTATTCGGAAACCCCAGCACGTTTTTCTGCATTCATCTTTTGGATTCGTGCTTTTGAATCCTTGAGGTGTCCTATAAACTACAGAAGGAACCTGCCTCTTTTTTCTTCTTCTTCCCCTTATCACACATTCCACAGCTTCTGCAGGCATGGAGTGCAAGGGTTGGACTGATCAGGAGCCAGAGGTGACCCTCTGGGATTGGGACTGTCAGGGTGTAAGGTGATAGTATAGCCTTCCCCTGAGCCCAAATGGCAGCAAGTTGTACATGAGGAAAAGCTGGCCCTTCCTAAGGAGGTCTTATTGCCATTTGCCACAATACTGTCCTATATTTTATATGCAAGTCTATGAGAACTATGGATGTGAATGGCCCCCCCAGTGACGATGACTGACAGAGAAAGGGTGGAGCACCTCACAGAAATTTGGGAGCATTACCAGAGCTCTGTAAGGGGGGAACGATTGACATACTTTGTCTTGTTAGCAATAGATTGTCTTTTATACATGCACTTAAGTTTTGATGATGCTGTAAAACTTGCAGCCATATCTTTGGGCTTCAGAGTTGGCCCAGCATTAATTTGGACAAAGTCATTTAATCTTTCTCACCTTTAATTTGATCTTTTATTAACTGAGATCAGAAGACAGATCTTTTTTAAAAAGCAGGGAGTTTTTTTTGTTTTTTTTTTTTTTAAGATTTTACTTATTTGACAGAGAGGGCACAAACCAGGAGATAGGCAGAGACAGACTCCCCGCTGAGCAGGGAGCCTGACGTTGGGCTTCATCCCACCTTCTTACTCCCGCTCAGCAATACCCACTCTGATGTTTCTGGTTTTAAATGGAAAAGCCCTTGAGCTCTGTAGGGCAGAGGCAGTGTTTCATTCAATTTTTTTATCTCCCCTTTATGGATTAATGAACACTGAAAAAAACTAGTTCACTTCGTCAACAGGATAGGCTCAAATTCTACTTAAGGATAGCCTTATTTTACTTAGGAAAGCAAACAAAATGTTAGTTTGGTTAAGTGCCAATATTAAGATAGATTAGAAAAGTGGACTTGGTCACAGATTTCATGACCAGCAGGGGCACTCAGGGCAAGAGATAATTAAACCTCCACACAAAAGAGATCTTTAGTGCGAGAAAGCAAGTATTTCCTTGTGAGGAGAAAAGAAAAATAATTAGTTATTTTGCTTCTGTTAGTTACTCAATAATTCTGGCATACATTTGCCATGTTAGAAAATTTAACCATAGGTTACTTTAACCTCTTTGAACACCTGTAAAATATTTTCAACCTAACGTCTCAAACTCCTGAGAATTTGAAATATTGTTCTCAGTGTTATGAATTTAAGTAGGGCTGATGTGTGAAAGCACCAACAAACCTGCTTCTCTTAGAGTTTCCCTTGAGATACAAAGAACAAAAGTATCTTTGGATTTTTTCCACGGGGACATCTGTTTTGTCCATGGAGAAGGAGAAAAAGAAATCTATCCCTTAACGACTAGCAAGTAAAACCTCTCCATATTCCCAAGGCCACTTTGGTTTCAAGAAAATGGATAAGAATTATGTACAAGATTGATCAATTATTGGGACGCCTGGGTGGCTCAGTCAGTTGAGCCGCTGCCTTCAGCTCAGGTCATGATCCCTGGGTCCTGGGATCAAGTCCTGCATTGGGCTCCTTGCTCGGCAGGGAGCCTGCTTCTCTCTGCCTCTGCCTGCCACTCTGCCTGCTTGTGTGTGCTCTCTCTCTCTGACAGATAAATAAATAAATAAAATCTTTAAAAGACTGATCAATTATTGCTAGCCTAAATAAATTGTAGCCTTTGAAAATTTAGAGAGCTTTCTAGAAAATGAGTCAGTTAAAAAACTCAACCTATTTAATCATTAGCTCTTTTACTGCAAACTACTCTGTATTTATACTTTATTTAAAGTAAAGCAGGCTGAAATCCAAAATGACCTTTAAAAGGAAAATATTTACATCTGTCAATATTTACTTCAAGAGTTCTGAAATCTTACTGAAGAAATCAACTAAATTTGTTTTTCCATTTCAGCAAACATCAGTATTTTTTCTTTCCTGCTGTCATTGCCAAACTTAATATGAAAAGTTTCTGAGATTGGCTTCTGAAGAACAAGGCCAGAGTAGCTTGGGGGAAATTATAGAAACTGTGTTTACTGGGGGACTAGGAGAGTAAATAAAGCCCTAAAGAACTTTGATCCCTATAGAGCAAGAGATAGAAGACACATATTTTTCTGTGTATTAAGAGAGTGCCCTATGTATTAAAAGAGTGTGTGTGTGTGTGTGTGTGTGTGTGTGTGTCCACGCATATATATGTATCACCACACCGTGGTCTATATATTTTCTGGCTTTGGAATTGCTTTCTCTTTCTTTTCAAATCATGTTCCAGATAAGACAATCTCATTACTCCTAGATATGAGCTTTTTTTTTTTTTTCCTCAGTGGAGGATAGAAATGGAAATGGCATATTTACTGCCAAAAAATTTCAAAACACTCTACAACTTTTAGTTTCTCATAGAATAGGGAAGATAAGGAAGTATCTATTTATAGTTGAGAAACTGCACTTTACTTTTTCTGGGAATTTAATTTCTTTAAGTTTCTATTTAAATTCTACTTACTTAATATACAATGTAATATTAGTTTCAGGTATACAATGTAGTGATTCAGCACTTCATATAATACCCCATGCTCATCACAAGTACATTCCTTAATCCTCATCACCTATTTCCCCCATCCCCCCAAACCCTTCCCTCTGGTAACCATCAGTTTGTTCTCAATGGTTAGGAGTCTGTTTCTTGGTTTCCCTCTTTTTCCCTTTGCTTGTTTTGTTTCTTAAATTCCACGTATGAATGAAATCAGATGGTATTTGTCTTTCTCTGACTTACTTATTTCACTTAGCGTCATACTATCTCCATCCAAGTCTTTGCAAGTGGCAAGACTTCATTCTTTTTCACAGCTGAGTAATATTCCATTGTGTATTTATATACCACATCTTCTTTATCCATTTATCAGCCAATAGACACTTGGACTGCTCATTTTTCTCTCCCCATGTTTCCCCCTCGAGCTCCCAAAATCAAGGTACTCCAATTTATAAAAGGGGGTAATAATGAATTAATGAGAACAGGCTGATTACTGTCTGCAGGGCTAACCCACTGCTCTTTGGCTACTGTAATTTGCACAATGGCCATTTAATTGCTCCGTGCCTCTGTTTCTTCATAGATAAAAACAGGGATGAGAAAGGACTTAAGTGGAAAATACTGCTTCAGAAATATTTTAGATGTCATGTTACAGTCCCTCTGAACTGTAAAGGAATTCTGGGAGAAAGAGAAAGGATTTTTGCATGAAGTAAGTCAACTAGCAAGCCACGCAATTATAGACCATGTACTTACCAATAATAACGGTGTTGTCATCAGCAATTAGCAACTTGCTATGGACATAGATGAGCTCAGTGACGAGGTTGCCTTCAAGCTCTGCATGTGTTCTAAGGCCACAGAATGATATGTAATTTATCCACTGATTGCCAACTATAAAATAAAAAAGAAAGTACTAACATTCAATGACCAAGTTCATTCAAGGGACATTAAATTTTACTGTTTCTTAAAACAAAGATACTACTTAAACAGGTGGTTAAGAATCGATGGTGTGGTGTAGTGTGTGTGTGTGTGTGTGTGTGTGTGTGTGTGTATAATTTCAGAACTCACCCAGGATCTGTTTTTGCTATCAGAAGAATCTTTTACTATTAATATGGATGGACATTAAAAAAACAGTACTATAGTGCTTTCTATAAATTACCTTTTCCAAGGAAATCAAAAAATATATCCAATATGAACAATTTATTTAAATGATTTGGCGAGTAACTACTGAAGAGTGATAATTAAAGCAGAGCCAGAGTGGATGACCCAAGAATTCAGTGTGATGTTTGCACTGATCTTGGTTGACACCTGCTGCAGTTTAAATCAGATGTAAAAATAATGCCCACATGACTTGATGTAGAAATAGTGTGGCCTATTCAGTGCATAGCAGCAGTTAAATTTTATAGACTTTGGGTAAATAAAAATGTTGGCAATTAAATAACACTCCTTCTACATCAGTAACATCAGGAAATGAAAGAATCCTAACTACATTTGACTTTGAAGAATCTGCCTCAGAGCAAGCGCTAGCAGGTTTGTACTTTAAAACGCTGCCCCATCATCACATGAGGGCCATTCGTGTGATAAGAAGAAATGAATTCCATACCAAGCCAACCCCTGACCATTATCCTGGCATCAATGTTAGTCACACAATTTTATGGTCTCTCTCTCTCACATAGCAGTTGTCCTGGATAAGGAAAGTCTTGTACTAAGAATAAATGGAGTGGAACCAAACCATCACAGGTTCTAATAGAAACAGAATGTAATTTTTTTTTTTAAGAGAATCTGAAGCATACTAATAGAAACAATGGCAGTTCATGTTCTGTTTACTGAAGTTTCCATGTATTTACTGATGCATTCTATTATTCTGTTGATGTTTCTCAGTGTTTCTATTAAATCTGGGTATCTTGGAAAGAAATTCATTCATAGGTTATATATAGAGATTCCTCCCTTTACAGGTAAACTTTCCCTTATACATGTAAATAATATTGTAGCTGTTTGCCAAGAGTCGATATGTTGGTGTACTAGTACATCATGTGTAAGAGATGCATTTCTAAGAAGTTTCATGTAAATAAGATTTTTGTACATCAGTTTCTTCCCCATTTGTTAATGTTATATTGGAAAGATGTTTCATTGAAAGCATCAACTTCTCTTTAAAACTTCTCTGATCCAGGAGAAAGAGGTATTTCCTCTTTTAAGCCCATCATACCCATGAAATTCCTGGAAAATACTTCTAACATAACATTTAATATATTATTTTACAAATATTCATTTAATCCTCCATTTCTCCTACCATCATCGAGGTCTTACACATTTTGTATCCCCATCCTCGCATAATGCTAAAAGAAGTTGAGTAAATGAGTGAATTGATGAATAGGTAGTCAGGTGACAGCTATTATTGGTTTTTCTGTATCATCAATTTTTCTGCAGCTGGCTCATGATTTAAAATTTTGAGATATAAAGCAGATTTTTAAAGGAATCATGGAGTGAATTCTTGGCTAAAGTAAGTAATTTTTTGCAGTAACTTCCCATAAAAAATTCACATAGAACAATATAGTAGCCCAGTGGTTCTCAGTGTAAGGACTGCCTCTCTGAGGACCGGTTAGAAATAAAATCTGGAAACCCTCCCCAGAGGTTCTGTTTCAGCAGAAATCTATAATTCAGTAAATGCCCTAGGGGATATCATTCTTTGAATGACACTGTTGTAGAACTTTGGTATTTATAGTTTTAAGAGTAGTGGCACACTTTCAGGAAATAATACACCATGACAATCTGAGATGCATTCCAGTGTGCAAGTCTGCTCAATATGAGGACATCCATTAATATAAAACATGATATTGATCAATCTAGAGGGGAAAATCTTATGATTGTTTTAACAGATGTTTTTGAAAAGCTTTTGACACAATTCAGCATCCATTCTGGATAAGAACAACAAAGAAAGAAGAAAAGGATGAATACTTTCTTAATATGCTTAAAAATATATAATATATACATTACACATATGTTATATGTCTATGTGTATAGAATATCTTCAGTACTGTTTAACGTTGCCTTGGAGGTATCAGCCAACTCATTTAGACAAGAAAAATCACATAAGGAAAACCAGTTCCATTTCCAGATAATATGATCATATCCTTGGGGAATCAAAGATAAAACTATCTCATAATAGGATGTGAATTAGCATACAGAAATCAATAGCCTTCATACACATAAGCAATAACCATTTAGAGGTTAAAATCAGACAAAACGTTATTTATGATGGCAGCAAAAAAGTAAAACACAGATAAACAATAAACTTACCAATAGATGTGCAAAAATTTTATGAAGGAAAGAAACGCTATCAAAAGACACGAGAAGAGACTTGAACAAATGAAAAGACATCCCTTGTTCTGGGATAGAATGATTCAACATCAAAAAGATGCCAACTTTCTGCATGTTAATTTATAAATTTAATATAATCTCAGTGAAATACCACCATGTTTTTGTGGAGTTAGAAAACTTGACATTATAGTTCATGTGGAAAAATAAACATCCAAGAATGGCTATGAAAAAAAACTGGAAAAGAAAAGCACTGAGGAGGGCATTAGCTCTATCTGATATTAACACATACTACAAAGGCTGTATAATTAGAACAGTGCTGCACCAGCACATAAACAGACAACTAAACTACTGAATAGTATAGAAAGCCAAGAAAGAGACCCAGGCACATACAAAAATTTTGCATATGATAAAAGTAGCATCTCAAATGACAATGACTTTCACATAAAGGCCCTAGGACTTTTAAATAAAAGATGCTAGTATCATTGCATAGCTATTTGAAAAATTACATGCATATCTCATACCAATCAAAGGAATAAACTCCAAATGAATCAGAGACCAGAATGCAAGCATATGAAATGACACAAGTGTTAGAAGAGAAAACAGAGTAAATTAAACCCGAATATTAGGAAGGCTTTAACTATCGATAGGCAATAAAAGAAAAATATCAATAACTTTGCCTAGATTTTAAAGAAACACATGACACAAAGTACCACACACACACAAAAAGAGACAAACAACAAAGTGGGAGAAAGCATTCGCAGTGTATGTCACAGATAAAGAGCTTAGAGTCCAAACCTATAAAGAAATCTCAAAATCTTGATAAAAAGAATGGGCAGAAGACATAAATGGACAATTCACACACATGAAAAGATATTTGAAAGATATTTTTTCTCACTCATAACAGAAATGCAAAACTACACTGAGAAACCATTTCTTACCTACGGTGCCAGCAAAAAAATAACATTCTGTCAGTGAGACTGGGTTGAAGCAGGCTCTTTCATACACTGATTGTGAGAAACCAAATTGGTACAAATTCTCGGGGTGGGGGGAGGAGTTTGGCAATATCTAACAAAAAGTATATTTAAAAAATTTTTTTTTTATCATGATAAAGTGCACTCCTTTATTGCCTTTACGGATTTCCTGCATCCCCCCACCCACCTCCCCTCTGGTAACCATCAGTTTGTTCTCAATAGTTAAGAGTCTATTTCTTGGTTTGTCTCTCTTTTTTCCCTTTGCTTGTTTGCTTTGTTTCTTAAATTCCACATATGAGTGAAATCATATGGTATTTTTCTCTGACTGACTTATTTCGCTTAGCATTAGCAATCCCACCCTAGAAATTTACCCTATACACTTCCAACTAATAAGAATATATATGCACAAGGTTATTCATTGCATAACTGTAACCGAAAAATACTGAAAATATTTCAAACACCCATACGGAGGGGAACGATTGAACTGAGTATGGCAAATCTCTACATGGAAGACCATGCAGATGTAAAAAAGGAATGAAGAGCTCTATGAATGGATAGATGAGAAATATCATATACATATATCTGTAAGAATAATCTAGAAACTGGCTACCAATAGTGGATGTGATGGAATAGATTAGAAAAAATGGGTGCGGAGGAAACTGACAAAAGGTTTAGGAACTGACACTTACTGATATACGCCATTTTTACAATTCTGACTATTGAAAGTATACTGCACACACTCAAAAAAATTTGAGAAAGATATAGAAAAAAGCCCCTCAAAAATGGAATACAAATGGAAGGAACTGAACCCAACTATATTTCAAATTAATAACATAATCCAAGTAAATTTTGAACACTGACTTTTGAGTATATACCCTTAGGCTAAAGACAAAAAGAACTGTAAACAAATACTGAATTCTAGTGAGTAGATTTGTTTTTCAGAATGGTATGGGCCCGCAATTCTAAAACTATTTTCTGTATATTCTAGGATAGAGGAAATAAATGCATATATTATAGATACTAGGAGGTGAGAAAAAGGAGTCATAAAAACAGAGAGAGGACTAGAAGGAGTTCTGTGGTGTGGGATTGGAACTAGAAGCATTAATACAGAGGCAGACAGATGGGTAAATAGATGTATCGATGGGTGATAGGTAATGTGGGCTAGGCCTTAAAGCAGTGATATCCCAGGAGCCATGATCATATCTAGCACCTGGATTTTGGTTCCTAAATGTCATTTCCACTAGAAGAAACTGGGTTTCTTGGTTGATTCTAGGGCTAGTGCAGGGAATATACAGTCTGAGTGTGGAACTCTTCTTGTGCTTCTAAGAAAAAAGGCTGATATGGGAACATATCAAAAGCACAGAGAAGCCAACTTATAAAGGTGCTCACTGGCCAAACCTGTGCAAGCTAGGCATTACACTTATACTCACTGAAAAAAATAAGAATCCATGAGTCCATACCAATTCAAATACATAAATATGCCAATGGGGAAGAAGAAGGGAAACTTTCCTTACAGTAGAATTCCAAATAAGAAATTGAGAAGTAGTAAATATAGGAGAAATGATGAGATTTTAAAAATGAGCATTTGGCAACTATCATAGT